AAAAATCCCAATTTTTAAGGCAAACCAGAACCCAAAAAAAAGGTTTTTTGGAAGGAAATGGAAACCCCAAAATCTGCCAAGGCCTGACCTTCAGCAAGAACAGAAAATTTGGAATTTGTCCCTGTGTTTGAAAGGACAAGGATTCCTCAGGAAAAGGCCATGGAAATGTTTTTGGGGCCGTTGGGATGAATCCCATAAAAACTTTTGTGTTTTATAGGTCAAACCTTCCAAAAAACTGGAAAAAAAAATCCAAAAAATCCTTCCCGGAGTGGCTTTTTGGGTTTGACTGCAACCACGGTGTTTTAGGGTTTAAAAAAAGAGATAAAATCCTATAAAAGCCATTAAAAAAACCCCAAAAAAACAGGATTTTGTGGGGGAATGGGATATTTGGGGGATTTTTTGGGAATTGAAGGATACATCCACTCGAAGAGCATCATGAAGCTGGTCTTGGCGTTGAAGGCGAAGGCGATTCCTCGAAGATCCCGCACCAAACCCACCAAGGTCCTCTGGGGTGGGGAGAAAATGGGAAAAAATTGGGATAAAATGGGAGAAAGTGGGATAAAAATAGGGATAAAGACGGAGAAAATGGGATAAAATGGGTTAAAATGGGATAAAGTGGGGAAAAAATGGGGATAAAATGGGACAAAATGGGATAAAATGGGGTAAAATGGGATAAAATGGGAAAAAATGGGATAAAGTGGGAGAAAATGGGATAAAATGGGAAAAATATGGGAAAAAATGGGAAAAAATGGGGTAAAATGGGAAAAAATGGGGTAAAATGGGGAAAAATGGGATAAAATGGGGTAAAATGGGAGAAAATGGGGGAAAATGGGATAAAATGGAAAAAAAATATGGGATAAAATGGGATAAAATGGGGAAAAATGGGATAAAATGGGGTAAAATGGGAGAAAATGGGGTAAAGTGGAATAAAGTGGAATAAAATGGGATAAAGTGGGAGAAAATGGGGTAAAGTGGAATAAAATGGCATAAAATGGGGAAAAAACGGGAGAAAATGGGGTAAAGTGGAATAAAATGGCATAAAATGGGGAAAAAACGGGATAAAATGGGTTAAAATGGGATAAAATGGGATAAAGTGGGAGAAAATGGGATTTCAGGTTTTCCAGGGATTTCAGGTTTTCCAGTTTTTCCAAGGATCCCAGGTTTCCCAGTTTTTCCAGGGACACCAGGAACCCCAATGTTTCCAGGGATCCCAGTTTTTCCAGGTTTCCCAGGTTTTCCAAAGATCCCAGTTTTTCCAGGTTTCCCAGTTTCCAGGGATCCCAGGAATTTCCAGGAATTGTTTTCCCAACTCACTTTGGCCTCCTGCTCATTGAAGGTGTTGGTGCTGAACATCTGAGCCACCGTCTCGAAGGCAGCAGTGAGGGGCAGCATGAACTGCTCGTACTGATCCTCATCTTCCCCTGG